CACACACACACACACAGTGCAGCCGGCCTAACGGTACCTGAAGCCAGCACATGTCACTGCCTACGTAACATGCCACCATGGAAAGCTGGTTGTGACGCCGGATGTGTTCTTCTTCCCACGCTCGCGACGTTCCAGACTACATCCAGTGCCCGTACTGCCAGAGGCGGTTCAGTGAGAACGCGGCTGACAGGCACATCAAGTTCTGCAAGGAGCAGGCGGCGCGGATGCCCAACAAAGGCAAGGTGGTGGCTGCGGACACTAAGGCGAAGCCTCCGGCCCGGTCTCAGGTCTGTGTCGCTCTGGCGCCTTGGGGAGAGGCTGGGCAGAGCCCCTAAGGACGTGCCTAATTTCGGTTCTGACTGATGCTGCCTTAGGGATGCCCTTATTTCTCGCTCTTATGTCCAACAGTACAAGCCCCCCCCAGTAAAGAAGGCGAACTCCCCCGCAACATCGGGCATCCCGGCTTCTGGCTCCTCCCGCCTGCCCCAGCGCTCCGCATCCGGGCCGTCTGCAGGTGAGCCTGGCCTGAACCCCACTGACTAGCTCTGTTACCCCTGGGGGGCTATATTGTAAAAATGAATAAAAACATCAAGAGTTCAGTAATCAGCCAGTTACTCAATTGAACAATTAACTGAATAGATAAGCTGCCCATAGATCCTTAAAAAGTCTTCCAAAAATTCTAGATCAGGCAGTTCTGAGCTAATGTGGGACGGTTTGCTCTTTAGAACATCTCGACTTGTGCCACTGATGTTTGTGAAGTTTATACTCCTGGAATGGTCTGATGGTTCCCCATTTGGAACATTTTGCTTCCTAGATTTCCTTTGAACCACGCGATAGTGTGACTCATTCTCTCTTGGCCTTGAGTGGCTGCCATACAGGGCTTCATATTCTGCCTGATATACTCGCACTCTCCCACACAAAAATGCAATTTTTCTTTGTTGAAGTCTTAAAAACAGTTTTGGAAAAACAATCAATTTAATTTTTAAAATCAAGCAGCAGTCCTGATAGAATATGGTCTGGATATATGCTCTAGGCGATGAAATTCACTTGTAAAAGCTGTCATAGTGGCCTAATTGCTTTGAATGTGGTATTCACAGCACTGTTCTTAATTATCTTTCCAGAACATAATCACATGAACAATTACACTGTTTACTTTTCAATTCCCCACATATAATTATGCATGCATGCACCTGTACTTATGTATGTTGCATAAATGAATTTGAAGGGTACATGTTATATGATCTGTTATACTATATACATCTATATAAATCTGTTATTTTGCAAATTAGATCTGCTCAGATTTGTGGCTTTTTTGGTTACATAGCTTAAATGTCTTCTGAGGTTGAATCAGTAAATGACAACTGAGAACATGGGTACAGTACTGTGCAAAAGGCTTCCGCAGTCAAAAAAAATGTTTGAGGCTATTTTTCTGGGTAGTAAGTGTATATATGCTTAGAAAAAAAAACACAATTTAGCATTAGAATATATGCAAATTCACAGTAGCACAATAAAAAAACAGAACTTCTTCTGTTCTTCATATAGTTACGGATATCTTGTTGTATAGCTAAATTAATTGTTTTGGTTCCCAAACCCCTCCTCAAGGGCACCTCGGCCGTTCCAGCCAGCTCACTTAATATATATAATTAGTTAAATAACTCAATGAGGTACTGATTAGCCAAACAAGGTGGGGTAGCTGTCCAGTCAAAAAAATACATTGATATATTGGACAGTTGCTGCAAATACTGGGGGTCTAAAATGGCTAAGCTGACACACATGTAAGTTATATGCCAACATGAAGATTATTTACACATATCTTTCTTTGACTTTTTAAGCCTTTTGCACAATATGGGTAATTCTCTGAGCTGACCCCACATGGACCAGACTTGCTTCAGATCTAGGGTGGTTGTTGGCAGGGGGCTTGACTGGATCTGGGGAGTATTACTCTTGCTGCGGTGATTACAAACATTTGGTGAAGAACCGTCTTGACGGTGATGTAACCTGCGGCACCTGCCTCAGCAGTTCCTGGGTCTGGCAGCACAGGCAAATGTTGATGGGCGTGGTGCAGTCTGGCAAGGTCCGTGTGTGTGTGTGTGTGTGTGTGTGTGTGTGTGTGTGTGTGCGCCTGCCTGTGCAGTGACTCGCTCGCGTGTCCCTTTCCTGTGGTGGAACGTTCTGGCAGTCCGGCTCTCCTGGTGTGGCTGGGCTTTTCTCCATCACTAATGCAGTATATATAGCTCATTACTGTACCTTTCATGATGCGGTTTCCTCTAGTGGGAATGGTATCCTAATGGAGCAGTGCCCTGATCAACAGTATATTTTGTCTGAGGTTTACTGTGGGCAGCCAGTAACCAGACCCTGTAGAGCTTCCCGTAAATGTGCGTATGACCGTGTTTCCAAGATACCTCAAGATTTGTATTGACTTTGTGTTGAAGAACAGGTTTTCCCTATTCTGTGTTAACAATTTGATGTCTGTATTATTTCAGAGTCAGTTAATGATGCAGTGTGAGAGTTTCCTAAACCTGGTTCAGGCACCTAGTCGCCCCCCCCCCCAAAAAAAAAGAAATATCGTCCAGGTCCCCCAGTCAGCAAAATCTACAGAGGGGTCTTCCTCCCCCCTTCAGTTGGCAATGTACAGCAAGGAACCTATCGATAAGATTGCTGGACACTCCCCCAGGTTACAGACCTGATTTGTACTCTAGCTTAAATATTTTTGTGACATTCTTCCAATTGGTTGCTGAAATCCTATCTGCAGAGAATGTTATTTACTATTGGCAGTTTGGTGTTTCTGTTGGATATGCTTAGGAATGCACCCTCAAATATGAACCTAGCACTTGGTTCAACTTGTTCTAAAGTGCTGAGGGACATGGTTTGAAAGTTGCTTTGTTCTGAACAGGGGTTCCTGTCAGCAAGTCTCCCTCTGCCGCCTCTGTGAAAAGTGCCACTTCTGGGTACTCCTCCAATCGGACCAACACCTCAGGCCTCACCAGCCCTCCGTCTGGGTAAGATGATCAGCGCCAGGGTCAACAGTCTGTGCGGGTCTCTGATGTTGAGTGCAGGCTTCTGGCATGGCTCTGAAGTTGTTTGATGTTTGTATTTCAGCTTTGTAAATTTAAGTTATGGTTCTACACTGCTTTTGTTCTAATTACTGGAGAAGGTGTTTAAATTTTTTTCATGATGGTGTCTTGAAAAAAGTTGGTCAGAGTTTGTGATATTATTTTTAACCTTCTCTTGCTCATGCAAATCAAGGCAACAATAATTGTTATGGTAGCTTGTTTTTTTCCAATTTAAGTCAGTAGTGTTGTTAATGAAATTTTGATTGATGGTCTGTTTTGTTGAAGAAACCTCTATCATCTTGTCTTTGACATTAGGGCCAAAGCAAATGTTTGTCATAGTCCAAAAGCAAAGGGATGCCCAGTGAGGGAAGCTCATGAGCATTACAAGATGCCTCCCACCCAAGAATTGTTTCATCTTTGATCTCTGGATAGGTTTAATATGAAATCCAGGACGCCAACATCTCCAGGATCCTTGAAAAACACATGTTCAGCTGCAGGACCCAACAGGCGGAAGGTCTACAATGCGGATAGCTACGTGTCGAGGTAAGGCCTCTACAATGCGGATAGCTACGTGTCGAGGTAAGGCCTCTACAATGCGGATAGCTACGTGTCGAGGCTAGACCTTTACAATGCGGATAGCTATGTGTCGAGGTTAGGCCTCTACAATGTCCATAGCTACGTGTCGAGGCTAGGCCTCTACAATGC